GAGGGGCATGTGAGTGTTGCGAGAGGGGCATGTGAGTGTTGCGAGAGGGGCATGTGAGTGTTGCACTTGGAGCATGTGAGTGTTGCGAGAGGGGCATGTGAGTGTTGCACTTGGAGCATGTGAGTGTTGCGAGAGGGGCATGTGAGTGTTGCACTTGGAGCATGTGAGTGTTGCGAGAGGGGCATGTGAGTGTTGCACTTGGAGCATGTGAGTGTTGCACTTGGAGCATGTGAGTGTTGCACTTGGAGCATGTGAGTGTTGCACTTGGAGCATGTGAGTGTTGCACTTGGAGCATGTGAGTGTTGCGAGAGGGGCATGTGAGTGTTGCACTTGGAGCATGTGAGTGTTGCGAGAGGGGCATGTGAGTGTTGCACTTGGAGCATGTGAGTGTTGCGAGAGGGGCATGTGAGTGTTGCACTTGGAGCATGTGAGTGTTGCACTTGGAGCATGTGAGTGTTGCACTTGGAGCATGTGAGTGTTGCACTTGGAGCATGTGAGTGTTGCGAGAGGGGCATGTGAGTGTTGCACTTGGAGCATGTGAGTGTTGCGAGAGGGGCATGTGAGTGTTGCACTTGGAGCATGTGAGTGTTGCGAGAGGGGCATGTGAGTGTTGCACTTGGAGCATGTGAGTGTTGCACTTGGAGCATGTGAGTGTTGCACTTGGAGCATGTGAGTGTTGCACTTGGAGCATGTGAGTGTTGCACTTGGAGCATGTGAGTGTTGCACTTGGAGCATGTGAGTGTTGCACTTGGAGCATGTGAGTGTTGCACTTGGAGCATGTGAGTGTTGCACTTGGAGCATGTGAGTGTTGCACTTGGAGCATGTGAGTGTTGCACTTGGAGCATGTGAGTGTTGCACTTGGAGCATGTGAGTGTTGCACTTGGAGCATGTGAGTGTTGCACTTGGAGCATGTGAGTGTTGCACTTGGAGCATGTGAGTGTTGCACTTGGAGCATGTGAGTGTTGCACTTGGAGCATGTGAGTGTTGCACTTGGAGCATGTGAGTGTTGCACTTGGAGCATGTGAGTGTTGCACTTGGAGCATGTGAGTGTTGCACTTGGAGCATGTGAGTGTTGCACTTGGAGCATGTGAGTGTTGCACTTGGAGCATGTGAGTGTTGCACTTGGAGCATGTGAGTGTTGCACTTGGAGCATGTGAGTGTTGCACTTGGAGCATGTGAGTGTTGCACTTGGAGCATGTGAGTGTTGCACTTGGAGCATGTGAGTGTTGCACTTGGAGCATGTGAGTGTTGCACTTGGAGCATGTGAGTGTTGCACTTGGAGCATGTGAGTGTTGCACTTGGAGCATGTGAGTGTTGCACTTGGAGCATGTGAGTGTTGCACTTGGAGCATGTGAGTGTTGCACTTGGAGCATGTGAGTGTTGCACTTGGAGCATGTGAGTGTTGCACTTGGAGCATGTGAGTGTTGCACTTGGAGCATGTGAGTGTTGCACTTGGAGCATGTGAGTGTTGCACTTGGAGCATGTGAGTGTTGCACTTGGAGCATGTGAGTGTTGCACTTGGAGCATGTGAGTGTTGCACTTGGAGCATGTGAGTGTTGCACTTGGAGCATGTGAGTGTTGCACTTGGAGCATGTGAGTGTTGCACTTGGAGCATGTGAGTGTTGCACTTGGAGCATGTGAGTGTTGCACTTGGAGCATGTGAGTGTTGCACTTGGAGCATGTGAGTGTTGCACTTGGAGCATGTGAGTGTTGCACTTGGAGCATGTGAGTGTTGCACTTGGAGCATGTGAGTGTTGCACTTGGAGCATGTGAGTGTTGCACTTGGAGCATGTGAGTGTTGCACTTGGAGCATGTGAGTGTTGCACTTGGAGCATGTGAGTGTTGCACTTGGAGCATGTGAGTGTTGCACTTGGAGCATGTGAGTGTTGCACTTGGAGCATGTGAGTGTTGCACTTGGAGCATGTGAGTGTTGCACTTGGAGCATGTGAGTGTTGCACTTGGAGCATGTGAGTGTTGCACTTGGAGCATGTGAGTGTTGCACTTGGAGCATGTGAGTGTTGCACTTGGAGCATGTGAGTGTTGCACTTGGAGCATGTGAGTGTTGCACTTGGAGCATGTGAGTGTTGCACTTGGAGCATGTGAGTGTTGCACTTGGAGCATGTGAGTGTTGCACTTGGAGCATGTGAGTGTTGCACTTGGAGCATGTGAGTGTTGCACTTGGAGCATGTGAGTGTTGCACTTGGAGCATGTGAGTGTTGCACTTGGAGCATGTGAGTGTTGCACTTGGAGCATGTGAGTGTTGCACTTGGAGCATGTGAGTGTTGCACTTGGAGCATGTGAGTGTTGCACTTGGAGCATGTGAGTGTTGCACTTGGAGCATGTGAGTGTTGCACTTGGAGCATGTGAGTGTTGCACTTGGAGCATGTGAGTGTTGCACTTGGAGCATGTGAGTGTTGCACTTGGAGCATGTGAGTGTTGCACTTGGAGCATGTGAGTGTTGCACTTGGAGCATGTGAGTGTTGCACTTGGAGCATGTGAGTGTTGCACTTGGAGCATGTGAGTGTTGCACTTGGAGCATGTGAGTGTTGCACTTGGAGCATGTGAGTGTTGCACTTGGAGCATGTGAGTGTTGCACTTGGAGCATGTGAGTGTTGCACTTGGAGCATGTGAGTGTTGCACTTGGAGCATGTGAGTGTTGCACTTGGAGCATGTGAGTGTTGCACTTGGAGCATGTGAGTGTTGCACTTGGAGCATGTGAGTGTTGCACTTGGAGCATGTGAGTGTTGCACTTGGAGCATGTGAGTGTTGCACTTGGAGCATGTGAGTGTTGCACTTGGAGCATGTGAGTGTTGCACTTGGAGCATGTGAGTGTTGCACTTGGAGCATGTGAGTGTTGCACTTGGAGCATGTGAGTGTTGCACTTGGAGCATGTGAGTGTTGCACTTGGAGCATGTGAGTGTTGCACTTGGAGCATGTGAGTGTTGCACTTGGAGCATGTGAGTGTTGCACTTGGAGCATGTGAGTGTTGCACTTGGAGCATGTGAGTGTTGCACTTGGAGCATGTGAGTGTTGCACTTGGAGCATGTGAGTGTTGCACTTGGAGCATGTGAGTGTTGCACTTGGAGCATGTGAGTGTTGCACTTGGAGCATGTGAGTGTTGCACTTGGAGCATGTGAGTGTTGCACTTGGAGCATGTGAGTGTTGCACTTGGAGCATGTGAGTGTTGCACTTGGAGCATGTGAGTGTTGCACTTGGAGCATGTGAGTGTTGCACTTGGAGCATGTGAGTGTTGCACTTGGAGCATGTGAGTGTTGCACTTGGAGCATGTGAGTGTTGCACTTGGAGCATGTGAGTGTTGCACTTGGAGCATGTGAGTGTTGCACTTGGAGCATGTGAGTGTTGCACTTGGAGCATGTGAGTGTTGCACTTGGAGCATGTGAGTGTTGCACTTGGAGCATGTGAGTGTTGCACTTGGAGCATGTGAGTGTTGCACTTGGAGCATGTGAGTGTTGCACTTGGAGCATGTGAGTGTTGCACTTGGAGCATGTGAGTGTTGCACTTGGAGCATGTGAGTGTTGCACTTGGAGCATGTGAGTGTTGCACTTGGAGCATGTGAGTGTTGCACTTGGAGCATGTGAGTGTTGCACTTGGAGCATGTGAGTGTTGCACTTGGAGCATGTGAGTGTTGCACTTGGAGCATGTGAGTGTTGCACTTGGAGCATGTGAGTGTTGCACTTGGAGCATGTGAGTGTTGCACTTGGAGCATGTGAGTGTTGCACTTGGAGCATGTGAGTGTTGCACTTGGAGCATGTGAGTGTTGCACTTGGAGCATGTGAGTGTTGCACTTGGAGCATGTGAGTGTTGCACTTGGAGCATGTGAGTGTTGCACTTGGAGCATGTGAGTGTTGCACTTGGAGCATGTGAGTGTTGCACTTGGAGCATGTGAGTGTTGCACTTGGAGCATGTGAGTGTTGCACTTGGAGCATGTGAGTGTTGCACTTGGAGCATGTGAGTGTTGCACTTGGAGCATGTGAGTGTTGCACTTGGAGCATGTGAGTGTTGCACTTGGAGCATGTGAGTGTTGCACTTGGAGCATGTGAGTGTTGCACTTGGAGCATGTGAGTGTTGCACTTGGAGCATGTGAGTGTTGCACTTGGAGCATGTGAGTGTTGCACTTGGAGCATGTGAGTGTTGCACTTGGAGCATGTGAGTGTTGCACTTGGAGCATGTGAGTGTTGCACTTGGAGCATGTGAGTGTTGCACTTGGAGCATGTGAGTGTTGCACTTGGAGCATGTGAGTGTTGCACTTGGAGCATGTGAGTGTTGCACTTGGAGCATGTGAGTGTTGCACTTGGAGCATGTGAGTGTTGCACTTGGAGCATGTGAGTGTTGCACTTGGAGCATGTGAGTGTTGCACTTGGAGCATGTGAGTGTTGCACTTGGAGCATGTGAGTGTTGCACTTGGAGCATGTGAGTGTTGCACTTGGAGCATGTGAGTGTTGCACTTGGAGCATGTGAGTGTTGCACTTGGAGCATGTGAGTGTTGCACTTGGAGCATGTGAGTGTTGCACTTGGAGCATGTGAGTGTTGCACTTGGAGCATGTGAGTGTTGCACTTGGAGCATGTGAGTGTTGCACTTGGAGCATGTGAGTGTTGCACTTGGAGCATGTGAGTGTTGCACTTGGAGCATGTGAGTGTTGCACTTGGAGCATGTGAGTGTTGCACTTGGAGCATGTGAGTGTTGCACTTGGAGCATGTGAGTGTTGCACTTGGAGCATGTGAGTGTTGCACTTGGAGCATGTGAGTGTTGCACTTGGAGCATGTGAGTGTTGCACTTGGAGCATGTGAGTGTTGCACTTGGAGCATGTGAGTGTTGCACTTGGAGCATGTGAGTGTTGCACTTGGAGCATGTGAGTGTTGCACTTGGAGCATGTGAGTGTTGCACTTGGAGCATGTGAGTGTTGCACTTGGAGCATGTGAGTGTTGCACTTGGAGCATGTGAGTGTTGCACTTGGAGCATGCCCCACTCTCTTTCACACATGAGGGTCTTCCCTCATTACGCCCTTCCACCGCTCACCACCCCACTTATTCCTCCACCCACCCCTTTACTTACCATCCCCATTCGCTCAGCACCAATTGCCCTCCCCCTCACCCATATGCCCACTACTTTCCCTTTGTTTCCCCTCCCCTTTCCCACTACTTTCTCTTTGTTTCTCTTTAACCATCCGCATACCAGGTCCCTTCCCCTTTCCCCCTTCGCATGCTACCTGTGCACTCTTCCTCTGCACCCTTGTGCGTTTCTCCCACCCCTCTGCTATTTTTCCACCCCTGTGCCAGCCACCACCACAGGCCCTTCCTGTCTCCTCAACAGCAACAACCCTGCCCCGTCACCCCCGCTTTCACAACATAGAGCCTTTCCCGTGTCCCCTTCCTCATTTTTTCTCCTCTCTGCTCTTCTCCTCCCACCCTTGTTGCTGCCACCACAGGCTCTTCCTGTCTCCTCGACAGCAGCCAACCCCCCCCCTCACCCGCACCCTCACTTCATGGAACCCACCCCCTTCCTCACCTCCACCCCCTCCTTCCGCTCTGTCGCTGCTCTCGGTACCCTCCCTCCCCCCTCCTCCTCCTCGCCTCTCTCCCCCTCCCAAACCTCCCTGGCCCGCCGTCGAACCCCTTCTTCCCTCGGGAACATCTCGGAGGAGGAGGCTCGGGAGGAGAGGCTCGGCGCGCCGAGCCTGACGGGCAGGGGCGGCAAGCGTGGCGGGCCGATAGGGGTGTTTAGCATCGAAGGGGAGGAGGCAGAGGAGCGTGGAAAGGCTGGGAGTGTTGCTGCTGATAATGCCGCTGCTGTTGCTGCGGCTGCTGCTGCCGCTGCTACTAATGGTTCTGTGTGTAATGGTGGGATGGAAGGAAGGGTAGCAGGAGAGAGTGGGTGTGTGGAAGGAACAGGGAAGATTGCTGGAGGAGAGAGGGGCGGAGGTGGGGGAAGGGAAGCAGAGAGGGGGGAAGGACGGGGGAAGGTTCAGTGGGTGGGATCGTCTGGTGGTGGGCTAGTGGGGAAAGACGAAAGGGGGAGGGGAGAGGTGGGAGAGGGGGAGGGAAAAAGGGAGGAAGAGGAGGAGGAGGATGAGGAGGAGGGGATGAGCACTGTAAGCATGTCAGTGCTGGCAGGGACTATAGACGGTAGAGAGTCTGTTATTGACGAGGATGAGGAGGAGGGGGAGGTGGGGAGCGCAGTGGGGGACGGGGGAGGCGAGGACGAGTGGGAGATGGGCCCTGCAGGTGCCATGTGTGGGGAGGACGACCTGGGGGAGGTGGTATCTGGGACAGGGAAGACTGGGTCTACTATCGAAAATGGGGAGGTTTTTAGTGGGAGAGGAGGGGCGGAAAGGCGAGGAGTGCGGGGAGTGGGAGGAGCAGGAGGAGCAGGGGGAACAGGGGAGGCAACAGGAAGAGCAGGAGCAGGGGGGCCAGCAGTGGTGCAGCTGCGGTTTGAGAGTGAGGAGCAGCTGAGAGTGGCAGCAGTGGTGGTGCGCGAACTGATGAGCAAGGTATGGTGGGATGGTGGGAGGGGAGTGTGACATGGTGGTTTCATGTTTCGTTGATTCCTGACTAATTTCAAACCTTCATTCTTTTGGCATCTCCTGCACCCAATCTCTCCGCCTCACCACCCACCCACCTCCCACGGCTGTTCTCCTGGTGTGTGGCAGATTCAGCGGTGCCTCGAATCATCACCACCAGGTGAGTCACCTTACGTCCTTTCGCCCTCCTTCCTCAAGCAGTCCTTCATTGATATATAGGGAGATACATGCATGGCAGGGGGTATACCAATTGCAAGCTAACTAGGAAAAACAAGCAGCAAGAGACATATGGCAGCAAGCTAACAGATTGAAGGCCTGCAATTCAACCATGGCAAATGCACCTCTCTGGTCAAGGCCAGTGTATCCCTTGTGGCCGGGCTGTCCTACTGGTGTTCCTGGTCACTCTCCTGGTCTGCCCTCTCCTTCCCCTTCTTTCCCTATGCTCCTTAGCCACATACCCCGTTCTCCAACACTTGCCATAGGTCGCCCAGCCGCGGCTCCCATGGGTCCATAGGGGCTTGTGGGGAGGATGCCTCGGCTGCCCTGTTTGACTTTGTGAGCAGGCTCGTAGCCTGGCACCGCTGCAGCATCTAAGAGAAGCGCTGGCGGTAGTGGGCGTTGAGTCGTGCCGCCACTGTAGTCTGGGGTCCATAGCGGAAGCCTCGTTTGGCGGCGTTGGTGGCTAGCATCCTAAAGAATTTAACAGTGTCTGCCGCCAGCGCGCCATAAGTCTCTACCGCCAGTCCCAGGAACCCCACGCATGATGGTCGTTCCTGGTACAGCTTGTGCTTGCCAATGCATGCTTCCTCGGCCGCCCACCCAGGAGCCCTTGTTGCCTCAAGATCGCGCCGCTGCAATACCGGGTCCGTCACGGTCACGTCCGTTACCCAAGTCTCGGACGTCTCTGGATCACGTATGGTTAGATCCGCCCTCTTCCTGTCCACCGGCGGAGAGTACACCGTAGTCTCGTGCAAGGTCATATACTTTGAGGCGCCTCAAAAGGAGAGTACACCGTAGTCTCGTGCAAGGTCATATACTTTGCTTCCTTCGCCATGCGCAGGCACGCATAAAAAAGTGCGTTGTGCGTCCTCGTCCGGTCCCCCCCTTCGCCGCACCTTAGCAGGTGGTTGGGTAAGCTTTTGTCGGCTGTGGGGGACCGTGCTCGGTTGCATGGGCACTGGTCTGTAACGGGCAGTGTCAGGCCAAGGCGCAGTCCTTGCGCCAGAGAGAATTGCCCAGGCGCTAGCGTGAGGTCCGCCCGGGTCGGTACTGCGTTAAGCCAGTCCCCCGCACCTGTGCCTTGTAGACTCAACAGGCGCAGTGGGTGGCCGTTGTCAACTCCAGGTCTGTCCAGTCTCGTATCTGCTACCAATTCCGCCGCCCTTGCTCTGTTGATGTGGTTCGAGAGTAGCAGCTGCAGTTTTTGTTGTGTGTTCATCTGTGTACGGAAGTCCCCCAGCAGCAGTCTCGCCTCCTCTGGCAGGCGGGCCTCCAATTCGGCCAGGGTCGACAGCTCTCCACCTGTCGTGGTATGGTCAGGAGAGAGCAGAGTGGCGACCCTGGCAAGGGCATGGTCCCGGGGCGTGTTGAGCTGCTGGAGAAGGAGCTGGGCCGCACTCACGGATGACAGGTAAGGTGCAGGCGCTTCCGAGATTGGGTCGATGAGACCCAGGCCGCCCAGCCTGACTGGAAGGGTAGCCTGATGCCATGCCAGACTATGTTCCAGCTCATTCGTTGGGGAGTGTAACTTTGCCGCATCCAATGACGTACGCAGGAGGCTTTCACTCCAGCTTCGCCAATTGTCCAGGGGCAGAAGTTGTGCCGGGGTCGTCCGGAGTAGGTAAGATATTCGTCTGGAGATGCAGCGGGACAGCAGAAGGAGTGCATGTTGGGGGTGTAGTTGCCCGATGAGATCGCACAAAGCCGCCGCCACCGTCAGACTGTCCCGTAGGAACGCTGCACAGAATTCTGGGGACCCTATAGGGCTCCCTAGCACCCTGATACCACCCCCTTCCGCCGTGATCCCCTCAGGAAGCTCTGTTTCCCCGTCGACTATCTCGGGGCCCCACGCCGTCGACTTGGAGTAGTTGCAGCGATGGAAGGACGAAGTGGGTTCTTCGAGGGAAAGAGAGGGCTGGGCGCATGGGAGGACGAGGTGGGTGGGTGCATCGCTGCAGGCCGCTCGCGAGGAGGTCAAACGCTCTTCTTGCTGACTCCGGGGGACCCACCACCGTAATATCGTCCGCGTAAGCCACGACCGCAACTTCCGTAAACGCCATGGCAACGTGGAGTAGGGTGGGTTGAATGGCGGCGGCGAACAGTAGCGGGCCTAGGGGGTCGCCTTGGCAGACCCTTCTCGTCCTGACGATCCTTTCGTCGCCAAACGCCACGTCAAGAAGTAGAGGGGACGGGCCGTCGTAGAGGTTTCGGACCAGTGGGATGACGGGGTTAAGTTTGGACCACTGAAGCGCATTCATAAAAGCCGTCCTCTCCACGCTATTAAAGGCATTCTCGACGCCGATCTGTAGGGCAACTCGTGAACTATCCTCTTCTAGGAGTGCCCGGACCGAGTGGATGATGCATTCAGCACCCCCCTGAACCGCTACGCCAAACTGCACTGGGAGAAAGAACCTATTGATTGCCGGGCCTAGCTCACGTAGTGCCGCTTTAGCCGCGATGCGCATGACGGTTTCTCCTATGGCTATGGTGGTGGTTCACTGTAGGTGGTTCAACGGAGGAGTGTTAGGATCTCCTCGTTAGGATCTCCTCCTTAGGATCTCCTCGTTAGGATCTCCTCGTTAGGATCTCCTCGTTACCCAAGGCTGGGTCACGGAAGTGTTCGAAGCAGGTTCCTGATGGCCCTGCACCCACCCCACTTGGGCACTTCGCCAGGATGCCGCGAAAGTTCTCCTGGCTTACGGAAAGTTCCGAGGCCGACTCCCCCGCAACCCAGTATGGTAGTGGTAACATTGCCTCGGGGTGTTTCGCCCGCAAGCCTGCGACTGTCTCCGCCGACACCTTCGCCAAAGGTGTAGTCTGTAATGCTGCGCATGCCTTGGAGAGATTTCCCTTCTGAACCAATCCTTCCGCTCTGGCACAGAGTCCCATAGCATCGGGTTGGTGTCTGACTGCTTCCTGGTTGGGGGGGATGGTGCTGGCCTCGGTGTACAGGTTCTCCCATTCCCCCAGCCTGAATTTGTCAATCCACGCTTCGATGTCAGCCCATCGATTCCCAAGTGTCTCCTGGGGTTGTGGGCGCAAAGTTAGCCTCGGCAAGAAGCACAGCACTCTCCGCGCACATGGACAGTTTGGAGTTTTTGCAATTCGGAGTAGGGGGGTAAGTAGGCACAGCGAGTAATTGGTAAGCACGTCAGGTGGCAGCCTTCTCGCGACAAACGGCTGGTCGCCCCGTGTGAGCTTGCTGATATCCCAAGTCTCTGTCCCCGCCCACAGGTTCTCCATTGCCGCCAGCTCATCAGGTGAACGCACATCCTGAGCCCTGCTGTCCGCCCCAATAGCCACGTTGCCGTCAATTGTGGCTGCGGCTGCCTGGTCCACTGCTGGTGGATCGTTGTTTCGCTGATTGCGCACGCCACGTCGTCTCTCCTCATCCTCATCGTGGACCGAAAACTCCTCCGAGGATGGTGTCGCTGATGCCATAAAAGTGGCATCGTCGGAGGGGCGGTCATCATCGTCCACTTCCCCTCCTTCTTCTGCAACGGTTGGGATCTGCGACCATGTCTCTCCCGCCAAGGTCCCGTCCTCGTTGGCTCAGGTGGGGCCCGTGCTCGCGCTCGGCGTCCCCCCCTACCCCCTGTTGTTGCGCCACCGATCCCCCCCGCCCGACCAGGCGGCCGCCACGGTGTGGCTGGTGCCACCCACCGAATTCTCGAGGCGTTACGTGCTACTCCCTGCGCCATTGGCGCCGCATTTGGCGCTGGTTCTGCTGCCTCCCGCCATGCTCGACGATCCCGGCGTTGCTGTCGCGGTGTTGCCGTGACGTCGGCCGCGGTTGTTGCCTCGTGGTTCGGTAATGGCGTCCGACTCTCTTGCTCTGGTAGCATCTGCTCTTGCTGATGCCATCCCCGAAGGAGCCCTGGACGGGCAGGTGCCAGCGCTGCTCCGAGTCGCCGCGGCGCTGGCTGAAGGCGGGCTCGACCGCGAGCGCGGCCGGCGGTGCCGCCGACGCTCCCCTGTGTACCGTTCTCCCCGCACTCACGCTCACCCCTACTGCTGACCCTATCGTTCCCTTCCTCAGGCTGGACCAGGGGACCCGATCTCGTTGCGTCGGCGTCAGAGGCAGCAGGAGAGGCTGAGCCGTCGGCAGCAGCGGCAGCTCCAGCAGCCGCCTCCAACTGTGCAGACTCCACTTCCTCCGCTGGCTCTTGCGCCGCCTCCCGCGCTTCCTGGGCCGCTGTCGGCCGCGCAGCAGCCGCCTCTCCCTCCGTCATCGCCTCTCCCTCAGGGCGGACCCCAGCAGCAACAGCCGCAGCCTCCACCTTACCTCCCTCGGCCTCCCCCGGACGCTCCTCTGGCCGTCCCTGTGTCAACTGATCCATTGCCGCTTCCGTCCCCTGCTCCTGTTCCTGCGCACCGTGGGGCTGAGGTTCCTGCCGTGCCTGCACCTGTTCCTCCCCCGCCCCCAGACGCGCGTTGGAGTCGATGGGGTGAGTGTACGCCTGTCGAGCGTTTGCTCCGCGTTGAGCTGCGCGTAATGACCGTGGCGACGTGCCTGGATCATCTCGCGGAATTTCTCGCCCAGCTGCATTCTTGCATGAACCGCCACGGGTTGCAGTGTCCGAGGCTATCGCAGCAAGGGACGGAGTCTGCGGTGGCGGCTGTGACGGAGATCCCGCACATGGGCCTGGAGTTAGGGGCCCCCGGTGTGGCCTCTGGACCCGGGCCCGCCGCGTTGCGTCGCTGGCACCTCTCGACCTTGTGCCGGCACCTCTCGACCTTGTGCCGGCATTCGCTTCAGTGCTGCGGTGGATGGACGGACGGCTTGTATGGATACTCGCCCAGTAGCCTTTGGCTTCCCTTTGGCCACCACTTTCTGGCGTGGTTTGGCCCTGGGCTTCCCCATGGCGGTGTAGTCACGCCTGGGGGTGTTGTAGTTGCTGCCGCTGGGTTAATTGTGCCTATTGTACTGCTCCATACTGTTTTTGTTTTCTCCTTTTTTAACTTGTCACCCCTCACGCGCGGCCAGAGGCCGCGCTGTCGAGCGTCGGCCGCCGAAGGCGGCCGGCGCGAGCCGTTAGGTTAGGAGAAGGAAAGCAGAGAACAGAATGAAGAATGAGCCCCACACCAAGGTCCTAGGGCCTTTATACTAAGCTAGGGAGGGCTGGAGAGGCTAAGGACTAGATCCTAAGCCTCTCTCTCTCTCTCTCTCTCTCTCTCTCTCTCTCTCTCTCTCTCTCTCGCTCTCTCTCCATAGCTGTTAGGTTAGGAGAAGGAAAGCCTCCTTCCTCTCAATCTCCCTCGCCCTCCTTATCCCACTTGCTCTCCCTCTTTTTCCCTCCCTCTCCCCACTCCCCTTCCCTTACCTTGCTCGCTCGTTGTTCCCTCTCCAATCCATAACAGTTTTTTACGTCTGACCTTTTCGTATTACAAAGCAAAGCTAGTGCTTCTCTCCCTTATGTTGATTCCACCAAGTCAGCCAAACACAACACCATCCCAGAACACACAGACACCACCTCAGAAGAACCCACTCCTTACCATGCTCCTCTCAACATGCTCTCTAACATTCTCCTCTTAACTATTTCCTCTTCATCCCACTCCGCACATCATTCTTCTGAGCTACACAGGCACCCCAAGCATACACTCCTCAAATTCTTCACCTCTTCATCCCCTCTAGTCTAGTTCTGGGATGTCTAAAAAAAAAATCTTCTGAGCTACACAGGCACCTCGTAATATGCTCAAACACGCTCCATATGAAGTTCACCTCCTCATCCCCTTCCCCTTCTGTTTCCCGATGTCCTCCCTCGCAGCTCTTCAATCGCCCCTCTCCGCTCGTCGATCCACAGTGCCCATGCGTCAGCACAAGGTGTGATCAACAGCCGTAGCTTGCTAGCTCTTTCCATCCCTTCTTCGCTTCCTCATCCCCACCCCCTCTGATGGCCGATCCATGTCCGATCCCCCTCGTTCACATGCATTTCCATTTCTCTACCCATCACAACCGCATTGCACAGCATTTACTTGTGTCTAGACGGCCAAAGCCACCAAGCATATTCCCCCCGCCCTTCCCTATCATTCCTTCCCAACCCACACAGTCTGAGGACTCCGATCCAGCAACAGCCACCCACCAGCTCAACCCCAACCACGAGCACCCACCCCACCTTCCACACCACCACCTGCACTTGCCCCACCACCCCCCCGCCTCTCCCTCTCACGCACCCTCCACCGACCTCTTTGCAGCTGCAACCTCCCCAGGCTGGGCAGGTGCAACCTCCCCCAGATGGCACCTGGCCTATCTCGCCCTTGCTGTTGCCTGCCCTCTGGTTGCCAGCGCTGTTGCGCTTCGGCTATACCGCCGCCGAGCCGCAGTGGGAGGCTCGGGGAGCTTGGGCTTGGCTCGGCTGGCGTCAGCTCTGGGAAAACTGTAGCACTTGTTGTACCGATGGAGTTGCAAGCCGTTCAGTGCAGTACAAACTGATCGGGTCCCCACCCACCCCAATCGCACCGAGTCTCCCATGGCATCACGGACTGAGACGTGGTACCGGAGCCAGACTACTTGCAAAGCTTGCTGGCAGGACTGCAGTGTTGGGTGGTGATGCTACCGACGAGACAATTTGAAGCAACTTCCGTAAATGCTCTACCCATAAATGCAATTTATTTCTCTCAACTTGCCCGTTATTTTTGCATCACCATTTCGACAAAGCTCCTTCCGGTAGCTGATTTATTGGAAGGGGTTTTGCATCTTGTGCGGGAGGGTGCAAGTCAGAATCACTCGTAAGTTTTGTGGGAGCCTTTTCTCATCTCAGCCACACAAGGCCTGACTGATTACGACGACAACCTAGCGGCGCTAGCAAACTAGGGCCTTGTTCGGTTGGCGCCAGGGCTCTCGTTATCAGGGTAAAATACCAATTTTGCCCTTTCTGGCGGCCGTTTTTTTCAGTTACCCTTTCCCAGGAAGGGTAATGGAATTTTTACCCTAGACCAGAAAGTGTAAGTTTTTTTGTACCCTTCGAAAAACAGGGTAGTGAACTTACATCTCTGACTGTATAGGGTACAAACCCAATTAAACTGATGAGGTACCGAATGCTCCATAGCGAGACAAAACACCAAATGGGCCCCTTCAAAATACTCCCTACAGTGAGAAGTGAGCTTGTTATCTTTCAGGTCCAATACCTATTCATACCAACTGAGCCACCAAGTGTTGCACTGGAAACTTTGACAGTTCGTTAAAAACGGTACCAACATAATTACCCTTCCCAAACAGACTTATAGTTTTTTTATGTCAGAACATTATAGCTTATACATTTGTGTAGGCTGTAGTGGGGTAGCCCATAAGGGGTACAACCCAATTAGGGTTAGTACTTGTACCGAACTGTTTGCTAGTTCATTTCATTCTCGTTCGTTATTTCGACATGGAATCAGAGCAGGTTCCTTGGGCCCACCACCTGCTACGCTGCTAGTAACCCCCCCTAGGCCCGTCAACCCTAGCCTACGCGCCCGGCCCGTCGCTCCTAGCCTACGCGGCCCGTCGACCCCAGCGCCCGGCCCCGTCCCTAGCCCGCGCCCGGACCCGTTCCGCGCCCGCGCCCGGCCCCGTCGGCCCTTAGCCCCGCCCCCGGCCTCGTACCTAGCCCGCGCCCGGCCCCGTCCCTAGCCAGCGCCCGGCCCCGTACCTAGCCCGCGCCCGGCCCAGTCCCTAGCTCGCGCCCGGCTTCGTACCTAGCCCCGCGCCCGGCCCCGTCCCTAGCCCAGCGCCCGGCCCCGTACCTAGCCCGCGCTCGGCCCCGTACCTAGTCCGTGCCCGGCCCAGTACCTAACCCGCGCCCGGCCCCGTACCTACCCTCGCGCCCGGCCCCGTTCCGTACCCAGCGCCCGGCCCCGTACCTGCCCAGCGCCCGGCCTCGTCCCTAGCCCGCGCCCGGCCCCGTACCTAGCCCGCGCCCGGCCCAGTACCTAGCCAGCGCCCGGCCCCGTACCTAGCCCCGCGCCCAGCCCCGTTCCGCGCCCAACGCCCGGCCCCGTACCTGCCCAGCGCCCGGCCCCGTCCCTAGCCCAGCACCCGGCCCCGTACCTAGCCCGCGCCCGGCCCCGTACCTAGCCCCGTGCCCGGCCCCGTTCAGCGCCCAACGCCCAGCCCCGTACCTGCCCAGCGCCCGGCCCCGTCCCTAGCCCAGCGCCCGGCCCCGTACCTAGCCCGCGCCCGGCCCCGTACCTAGCCCCGCGCCTGGCCCCGTTCAGCGCCCAACGCCCGGCCCCGTACCTGCCCAGCGCCCGGCCCCGTCCCTAGCCCAACACCCGGCCCCGTACCTAGCCCGCGCCCGGCCCAGTCCCTAGCTCGCGCCCGGCCCCGTACCTAGCCCCGCGCCCAGCCCCGTCCCTAGCCCAGTGCCCGGCCCCGTACCTAGCCCGCGCCCGGCCCTGTACCTAGCCCGCGCCCGGCCCCCCACGACGACCCCTAGCCCGCACCCGGCCCCGTCCCTAGCCCGCGCCCGGCCCCGCCCCTTGCCCCACTGTCACTGCTGCTACTGCTACAGCAACTACTGCTGCTGCTACTGCTGCTACTGCTGCTACTGCTATCCTGCGTGCTGCACAGCTATGGCTTCGCTTCGGGTTCTCGCGTTTGATCATGAGGGCAGACCGGTTTAGTTTGACACTTGGCTAGACGACCTGCAGCTGTACCTACTGAGCGATTCTAAGGACAGTGTCTCGCTGTTTGACCTAGCGACAGGCGCTGCTACTGCCCCTCCCGCCACAGCTGACAATTCGACTCGCTCACAGTGGCTTACTCGTGATGCTGCTGCCCGCTTAGCCATTCGCAACCACCTGCCATTAGCTGAATGCGCTCACTTCGGACAGCACAAGATAGCGCAGGCATGTCAGATATATATGCCTTAGCATATTTAGGCTGTAGTGGGGTAGTCTCTAAGGGGCACAGGTTCTTTTTTGTACCAAACTCATTCGTAGTTCATTCATTCCTGTTTTCATTCTTCACATGGTATAGAGCGGGTTCCTACATGGGACCGTTCCTTCCTAAGGGCCCACCATAAGAATTTTTTTTTTAGCTGCCCGCACGCATTGCGCCCTGCCCTAAAAATTTTTTTAGCGGCCCCTACGCTGCCCCTACGCGGCCCCTACGCGGCCTCCTACGCGGCCCCTATCCGGCCCCTAAGCGGCCCCTCAGCGGCCCCTACCCGGCCCCTACGTCGCCCCTGACGCGGCCCCTGGCGGCGCCCTGACGAGGCCCCTGCCGGCGCCCTGACGCGGCCCCTGACGTGGCCTGACGCGGCCCTGACGCGGCCCCTGGCGGTGCCCTGACGCGGCCCCTGGCGGCGCCCTGACGCGGCCCCTGACGCGGCCCCTGGCGGCGCCCTGACGCGGCCCCTGGCGGCGCCCTGAGGCGGCCCCTGACGCGGCCTGACGCGGCCCTGACGCGGCCCCTGACGCGGCCTGACGCGGCCCCTGACGCGGCCCCTACGTCGCCCCTGACGCGGCCCCTGACTCGGCCCTATGCGGCCCTGACGCGGCCCCTGACGCGGCGCCCTGACGCGGCCCCTGGCGGCGCCCTGACGCGGCCCCTGACGCGGCCTGACGCGGCCCTGACGCGGCCCCTGGCGGCGCCCTGCCGCGGCCCCTGACGCGGCCCCTACGTCGCCCCTGTCGCGGCCCCTGACGCGGCCCCTACACCGCCCCTGCCGCGGCCCCTGCACGGCCCCTGACGCGGCCCCTGCACCGCCCCTGCCGCGCCCCCTGCGCCGCCCCTACGCGGCCCCTACGCCGCCCCTGTCGCGGCCCCTACGCCGCCCCTGACGCGGCCCCTGACGCGGCCCCTGACGCGGCCCCCGACGCTGCCCCTGCCGCGGCCCCTGACGCGGCCCCCGACGCTGCCCCTGCCACGGCACCTGACGCGGCCCCTACGCCGTCCCTTCACGACCCGGCCCAGTCCCGGTCCCTGAGCTGCCCCGTCCCGGACCCTGCTCGGCCCCGACCCTGTCCCGGCCCTGTTCCGGCCCCGACCCCGTCCCGACCTCTCGGCTCTGCCCCTGGTAAGAGCCTGGCCGAGTCACACTGCGCTGCCGAGTCGCCCTGCCGAGTCGCACTGTCCTGCCTAGCTTAGTTGCACTGCTGCCACTGCTAGTCTCCTGCTGCACTTATCATGGCTAGTCCTACCCTTCTCACCTTTGATACTGAGGGTCGAGCGGTTGCCTTTGATGTCTGGCTAGATGATTTACAGCTTTTCCTTCAGTGCGATAGCAGAGATGGCCTCTCCCTGTTTGACCTTACGTCGGGCGCCTCTACTGCCCCTGCTGCTGATGCTTACAGTACCGTTCGCTCGCAGTGGCTCACGCGCGATGCTGCTGCCCGCCTTGCTGTGCGCAGTCACCTACCGCCTACTGAGCGCGCGCACTTTAGTCAGTACAAGAGTGCTCAGACTCTGTACGACGCTGTAGTTGCACGCTACTCTTCCCCTGCCACTGCTGCGCTCAGCCGCCTCATGCTTCCGTACCTTTTCCCTGACCTCGCTGCCTTTACCACAGTCACTGACCTCATTACGCACCTCCGCACTAGTGACACTCGCTACCGCGCTGCGCTCCCTGCTGAGTTCTGCGCCCAGAACCCCCCCCCATGTACATCACCCTCTACTACCTAGTCACTCGACTCCCTGACACTCTTCGCTCGGTCAGGGACCACTTCCTCTCTCTTTGCCCTACCACCCTCACTGTCGACCTCCTCGAGGAGCGCCTCCTTGCAGCCGAGACTAGTATTACAGCTGTAGGCGCCTCTCGTGGTGACCCCCGTACCCCTTTCTTTGAGGGGTGCTCCCCTGTTCCTCTTTTGCCCTCTGTTGGCTCTGCTGCTGCTGTCGACCTTGTTGGCACTGAGTCGGTCCGCGCTGCGTCTGCTCCTAGTGAGAGACGCCGCATCAGCAAGGCCAAGCGGGGCAAGGGAGCTGGAGGAGGTAGTGGGGGCGGCGGTGGTGGCGGTGGGGGAGGAGGAGGGGGTGGGGGTGGGGGTGGTGGCAGAGGTGGGGGCTTCGGTGGCGGCGGTGGAGCTGGAGGCAGTGGTGGCGGTGGCGGGAGGGGTGGCGGAGGCGGAGGCGGCGGCGGCGGAGGTGGAGCCGGCAGAGGCGGAGCTGTGCAGCGGGGACCCCAGCAGCAGCAGCGCTCTCGTGAGACCCCTTCACCATAGCAGCTTCGTGAGTGGTACGCGGGGCGCCAGGGGTCTGGAGGTACTGGTCCCTGTACCTACGTCCTGCGCACTGGCGACCGCACTGGAGAGCAGTGTGGCGGCCTGCACGCCACCCAGCGCTGCTTCGGTCGCCTGACGGACGCCTGGTGTGCCCAGTTCCCGGACGCCACTGAGATCCCTCGTTGGCATGATCTGCTCAGGTCGGGGGAAGCTATCTTTGATCTTGACTTTGATGCTATCC